GGAGAGGAGAGGAGAGGAGAGGAGAGGAGAGATTGACCTGGACCAGCAAGTCACTCTTCAGTGACAGGGTCCCAAGGGGGAAGGCTTTGGCAAAAGAACACAGGACTCCTCAGACACATCTACCTTCAGATGGGATAAGGGAGCCACTTTCCCAGGATCTGAATCCTTAACTCTCTGGAAGCCCTGGGTCCAGTCTAAATCAGACCTTACCGGGTCTGCCCAGGCAAGGACTCACGACATGACCCCTCGTCCTTTCAGCAGGGCCTCTGTCCATGCATCAGTCTGGCTTGCAACAAAATATCAAGCCCAGCAATAATACTTTCTACTTTTCCTTAGACTTGTGCACTGTGTGTGTGTGTGTGTGTGTGTGTGTGTGTGTGTAGTTTATGTGCTGGGGTGTGGGGCAGCCGGGCAGTACCGATAATGTAGACCCAGGTTGCTTGGCTTCAACCACTCTCTTTCCTTCCCTTTTCAGGGCTGGGTTGACAGGCTGGTACCATCATGCTCAGAGTCACTATGCCCTGCCTAGACTTACCAGATCTTTCATTTGTACACTTACTTTATATACATTTAAGACATGTTTATATACTTTTGGTTTGCTAAGCCACTTGAAAATAAATTTTACATACTTTACCTCTAAGTCCTGAGCATGAGAATATGCAAATCTGCTATACAATCATAACACTGATCATCAGACTCAGGATAGTTAACATGAAATGACATTTTCCTTAGCCTCTGAGACATTTAAAATGTTCAGGACAATTGCAGTATCGGCTTAATAGCAGATAATATATCTACCTTTCACCTAATTTCACTGACTTTTTGTCCCCTACTCTCACCTCCTACATCCCCCAGTTTTTGCGACAGTCACACTGTGCAGTCCTGATTGGCCTGGAATTCAGTATGTAGACCAGGTTGGCCTTGAACTCATGGAGCTCTGCCTCTTCTGCGTTATAAGTGCCAAGATTAGTGGTCTGAGTCACCACTCCTTGTTTTTCACTAGCAACATTTTGCTAGAATTGTTTTGTATCTCTCATTGAATGTGTGCTTAATAATGACAAAATAATTATCTTTGTTGAATCACTTCAGTTAATTGCATTTTTTTTTCAAAAAATTATGTATCTGAGTGTTTTTCTGACTACATATAAGTGCACCATCTGCATGCCTGGTGCCCGAGGGGGTTGCAGCAGTTGGTGGATCCTCTGAAACTGGAGTTAGACTCCTGTGAGCTACCTACCATGTGGGTGCTGGGAACTGAACCCAGGTCCTTTGCAAGAACAATACTAGCTCTCACTTACTGAGTCATCTCTCCAGCCTCTGGGTACAGAATATTCGACCCTTAATTGCTATACAAACACTCACCTGTCCTCTAAGAGCAAGGACATTGCCCTACAATGCTATTATACACCTAACACAACAAAGATTCGTATCTAACGAATCTATCTAATACACAGCTGGTAATACAGTTTCCTCAATCGTCTCCCCCCCTTTTTGTTTGTTTGTTTCTTTGTTTTTCGAGACAGGGTTTCTCTGTCTCTGTCCTGGCTGTCCTGGAACTCACTCGGTAGACCAGGCTGGCCTCGAACTCAGAAATCCGCCTGCCTCTGCCTCCCAAGTGCTGGGATTAAAGGCGTGCGCCACCACCGCCCCCAATCCTCTCCTTAGCATTTACCATGCTTCACATGTGTCTTCCAAACCCATGTTGACTCTCGGTCCTTATTGCAGTGGTAGTAAGGTGTGGGCTTTAGAAGTGGTGAGGTTGTGCAGGCACTGCTCAGAATCGATTAGTGCCTTAGAAACGGTCTTGAGGAAGCAAGGTCATGCCTTCAGCCCTTCTGCAAAGTAAAGACATCTGGACAGTGTCATTTATGAGAAACTGGCCTTCACCAGACACTAAGCTTGTCGGCAATTTGGTCTTGGTCTAGAACTGGAAAAAATGTTCTTTATAAATTACCCAGCCAGTGATATTTTGTTATGGTAGCACAAACAGATGAAGACAACATCCCATCCAGGGCTGAATTTTTAGAAACCGACTTATGTGGTTTCGAATTTCCATTTTGCAAAGATCGCTGTCTGCAGCGTGGAAAAAGGATTATAAAAGACTCGGGCAAGGAAGCTGGGGAAGCAGCTGGGAAGTTAATGCAGCTATGTGAGGAGGATGACCTCAGGATTGCGGGCTCGGTCACTGCAGTCTCTCAGCCGCCTGCCTTCCTTGCAGAGCGCCCCCTTCAGATTCAGCTGAGCTTCACGTTACCACAAAAAAGAATTTCAGGATGCTCTAGTATGAGGGGAGGTAGGAAGTTCTAAAGGAAGGGCATTGGCAGGGATTTCCGAGTGGGAATCAACACACAGGTGTGGACAGGAGCTCCAGAGTGTTTCACTTCCGTGTCCTTACGTATGCGGGACTTCGGTGACTTCTGAGGTTAGATCCCACCGTTGCTAAAGAACTTGGAGGAGAGCACAGAGTGGCACCTAGGAAGTAATGAACAGGATCACAGTTGATCACATCATCACAGTAGGATGCAGAGAAGTTAAGGTGTCTTTACTGCAAACAAAGTTTTAAAATCTTATTTGAAAGAGTCCCATCTAGAAACTTTAGGATTTTTCAGATTTGTATCTGCGTAAGGAATAAGGTCACATTCAAAAGCCAAACATGCAAATAACGTGTTTCATGACTATTTAAATACTCTTATTGGAAACATCTCTAAGGAAGAGGGATGTTGCCACTATGTAGGCAGCCTCCCAGCAGGTTTTGACATCTGTGCTGGAGTGCATGACTCTCAGGAGAGACTTGAGCCAGACTCTGGGTCAGGGACTCCTTTTCTTTCTTAGGGTCCCTGAATTTTCTGTTTATTCATCCTGTCTCAACCTGAGCTAAGGAGGTAGCAGAAAGGGCAGACTCTGACTATAAGACTCGACAAGAGGAAAACAGACAAGGAGGTGGCAGTAGCTTACAAGACCAGAAGTGTACCAATGATTTCCATTTGTGCATCCAAAGTTATACAAATAGTACAATCTGTAGATCCCTTGCCCTGACATTCATCCATCCATCTTTTTCCTCTTGAGGTTTTATTTCTCTGGAGGTTCCTAATGTTTTACCAATACCTTTAAAAATCCAGACATTTTCTTACATAACAACCAGAATGATCAGAAACTGTTCCATGACCCTTACCCCAAACTTGCTAGCTGCTGTGCTGCCGTCTTCTCATCTTCACTAATCTGGGCTCAGTTTAGTCCTTCAGAGCTCTGGGCTAGCCCCTCAGTTTAGTCCCTTAGAGTTCTGGGCTAGCTCCTCAGTTTAGTTTCTTAGAGTTCTGGGCTAGCTCCTCAGTTTAGTCCCTTAGAGTTCTGGGCTAGCCCCTCATTTTAGTCTTTCAGAGTTTTGACTTTTTCTGTTTGGAGGTGGAGGTTCCGGATGTTGCTCAGGCCAGTATCAAACTCCTGAGCTCAGGACAATTCTCCTGTTTCAGCCTTCTCTGTGGCTGAGACTGTCAGTGGGAGCTGGAACCCCAGCCTTATGTTGCCATCTGTAGCCTGTGGACTTCTCTTACTCATTTTAAGCTAGAATTCTTGATTTATGCTGTAGAATAGAATTTTAGGAAAGAGTCAGTATGAAATAAAAGTTAAAATTTATTATGGAAAGTTCTTGAGTGTGTAGTTTTTTTAAAAAAGGTATTTGTATGTGCCTATATATAAAACCTGACATGGTTGTGCACCTATAATGCCAGTACTGGGTAGATAGAGGCACGAAGATCTCTATTAGTTTAGGGAAAGTCAGCCTGGTCTATGTTACAAGTCCTAAGCCAGCCAGTCTGTTTTATGTCACAAATCCCAGACCTCCCAGGACTATACAGTGAGAGACCTTGCTCCCTGCCTTTTTTTTTTTTGTTGTATTGATTGATTGATTGGTTGAGAGGGTTTCTCTGTGTAACCCTGGCTGTTCTAGAACTTGCTATGTAGACAAGGTTGGCCTGGAACAGAGATCTGCCTGTTTCTGTCTCCTGAGTGTGGAAATTAAAGGTGAGAGACCTTGGTTTTGTTTGTTTTTTAAAGTAGCTGAACTAAAAATTGCATCCATATTGACCAGGTACAGACTGTTTTCTTTTCCAAGCAACATAATATAACAACAATTTCCATGACACTTACACAGTATTAGACATTATAAGTGATTTAGACTTAAAGTAAACAGATTACATTCAAATATAAGAACTGGGTCTAGTGTCATTGGCCTAGAATCCCGGACACTCAAGAGGTTGAGGCAGGAGGATCTCAAATCTAAGGCTTCCCTGGATTACATAGTGAGTTCAAGCCCAGCCTGGGCAACTAAGTGAGCCTTTGTCTCAGAAGTAACAAAAAGAGTTAGCTATATAGCTCAGTGTTAAAGTGCTCGCTTAGCTGCTGTGTGACAGAATTTTTCCTGGTGTCTTAGTTAGGGTTACTACTGGTGTGATAAAATACCATGACCAAAACAATTTGGGGAGGAAAGGGTTTATTCTGCTTACACTTCCCCATCATAGTTCATCATCAAAGGAAGTCTGGACAGGAACTCAAGCAGGTCAGGAACCTGGAGGCAGGAGCTGGTACAAAGGTCATGGAGGAATTATGCTTACTGGCTTGCTCCTCATGGCTTATTCTGTTTGCTTTCTTATAGAACCCATGACTACCTGCCCAGCGATGGCACCACCCATAATGGGCAGGGCCAGTCTCATCTCATAGAGGCATTTTCTCAATTGACTTTCCCTGCCTTTTTTTGTTGGATTGATTGATTGATTGATTGGGTTTCTCTGTGTAACCCTGGCTGTTCTAGAACTTGCTATGTAGACAAGGCTGGCTGACTAGGTTGTGTGTTAGACCTGAGGAAAAAAAACCAATTCCATGACCGTCTAATTAAAGCAAGATGTATTTAGAGTTGTACAAGGTAGAAGGGCTCAGGAGCCCTAAAACCAAGTTTCCAGCACAAAGGAGACTTACTTCCCCCAACAGGAAAAAGGGTGGGAATAAGAGGCAAAGGCATGAGATAGAAGATGAGGGAGAAGGGAAAGGGAACAAGGGAGAGGGCGCAGGGGTGCTTGTCCCAGAGCGATAGAGAGAAGACAAACTTGGCACATAAGCAAACGGCGGTTTATAAAGGTACAAGGGGAGACCCTGCGTTAGGATGAGGTGTGTAATTTTAATTGGGCATGTTATCCAGACAGTTCTCTTGATAATTGATTGTTAGAAAGGAGGCAGTAAAAATAAGTTCAAGAACACAGCATGTGGAAGGGGAGCCATCACGGTATCTGGGAAGACACTTTCCTAAGCAGAAGGTAGATCATATACCATACAGGTTCAGAGTTTAGCAAGGCAAGAGGTTGGGCAAACATCATGGGGTTACAAGTTCAGTTTAGGTTGAAAACTTGGTCTGCAGGATATTTTAGACTTAGGAAGCAGAGACTTACTCTTGTAATGAAATGGAGACTTAGTTACAATGTATAACAATGTGGTTCTTTCACAACAATGAGGCTCCTGCTTTGGTTTCACAATAATGGGCCAGTTCATCTGGAGAGACTCAACACAAACATCCTCTCACGCCAGGTAGGGAGCCTGTGACAGACCAACGTGCTCATACCACCAAAGTCCAATTTAGTGAACCAATGATTTTTATTTGGTGTTGGGAACAAGCAAAAGAAACGTATTCTAAGTGCTACCATTTCATTTTCAGACTCCATTTAATCACAGGGAGAAACTAAATTCAATGTCTCAGGTCCTAGGGGAGCTGGGGACTTCCCCATAGCCAAATAGCTTCTGTTGTAAATAGTTTTCTGAATCCAGATATCTCAGGGACACCTTGTAAGTAGACAGTTGTCTAGGTCCAGCCATCTCATGAACAACTTCTCCATCCTGCTGGCAGGGTCAAACAAGTTTCTGTTCCCAGGCCTAGGTATGAACTCCCGTCCCATCTCTCCAAATGTTTCCTTAATTGTCTATTAACAGGTAAAGACTATAGAAACCGTGCATAAGTTATAAAAATATATAACTAGTGGCCTGTTATGCCTTAAGTAACTCCATGCAGCTGACCCATTCCTTTGTTCCCTTATCACTATGAGCTCTGGACCTAATGTCTAGGAGAATGAATTCCGGACCTTGAAGCCAGGTGCCCCTGGACACAGCCCAGTCTCCAATGGGTACTCCCTGGTTTAACCCACAATGTCAAAATACAACTGCATAACACTGCAGCTCTTCCAAGCTCCCTCCCGCCCTGCCCCTCACTTTGTGTTCTCATTCTAGAAAACGTTGTACAATTTCCCTTCGGGGACTCAATTCAGATCCTGAATTGCCCACCTCCCTGCATGCTCCGAAAGTAAAGATTTTATTTTTAAGTTTCCGTCTCTAAAGTGAGTTTTCTTGGCTTCCACCCAACATCAGGGTTACAGGAACAGAAATGACTCAGACAGCTGCGTCCTCAAAGCCATCCCAGCATGGACAACAGCTCACAAACACTGGGAGCCTGGAGTACACTACATAGCCTATAGGCAGCTCAACAGGTTGGAGAAAGTCTTTCTCAAGTCACTCAGTTGGTCTAAACTTTTCAGGTAGCCTGGCTTCTCTGAGAGGCACTCTGAAAGGGCAACATAAACCCCATTTGTCTCTGTTTTAAGGACTAGGCCTGATTTAAAAAAAAAAAAAAAAGGCTGTAAGGCACCAGCTTCAAGAATAGACCATAAGTCCCAGGAACTAGGTTATAAGACACCAGCTCTAGGAACAGACCATAAAATCCAGAACAAGATCATAAAACCCCCTGTTGCAGTAATTATTTAAAAATGGCCACTGGTCAAGCCAACTAAGCTGAGGTGGCTCTGCCTCAGCTCAGCCACCATGTTCCGTGGCCAGAGGCCACGTGCGCACCGCAGCTAGAAACGGCCAGCCAGAAACACCAGCCCTGCCACCCATGAGACATCATTGTGAGAGATGGCTCTGCCAACCTTCCATGCTGTCTCTGCAAGGCTGGGCATTGCCCAGACCATCTCGCCAACCACGCAGGCTCTGTACAAATGAGACTCTAATGCTTAGATTATCCAAAGGATTTATATGTTTGGAGAAGCTCAATAACAAGATGCTCATATAATCAGAGGTGTAACCCAACACCCAACCTAGATATACCAACTACCTTTGACTGCTAGAGACACGTGCACATCCACCTCCATGTTCCCCTCTCTTTCATCTCTCTTGTCCCCCATTCCTCTCCTAGCTCCTCCTCTTCCTTCTCCTCTTCCTCTCCCTACTCCTCCTCTTCCTTTCCTTACTCCTCCCACCTTAGCTCCTCCTACAACCCTCTCCCAAAGAACAGCCTGGGGATAACCACAGAAATGGGAATATCTCAGAATGGGTCTTCTGCACTGGGCAGTCCTCTTTCATCCTATGGTTAAATGTTCATGACATAGGAATGCAGACTACTGACCACCTATGACCCTCTAGCACCCACCAATGAAATTTTAGATTACATAATCCTTCTAGAGAGTTTCCCTGGATCCCTATAAAAGGCCTGCGTGTCTTTGTCTGGAGTCGGCACTTCAAAGAATGGTTGACTCCCCGCATGCTGGTTGTTTCTTTGTTTTTGCATTCTATCTGAATCTGAGGCCTTCCTTCAGTGATTTTCAGACCTTACAACTATTAGCAGTCTTCACTGTGTACTCTTGGGGAGGCGGGGGACCTAGAGAATCCAGTCAGTTTCAGGGACTACCTGAATCTATTTTGAGTTGTTTACTTTCTGCCTTAAGAGTTTCCCTGCAGGGTGCTGGAGAGATGGCTCAGTGGTTAAGAGCACTGACTGCACTTCCAGAGGTCCTGAGTTCAAATCCCAGCAACCACATGGTGGCTCACAACCATCTGTAATGAGATCTGATGCCCTCTTCTGGTGTATCTGAAGACAGCTACAGTGTATTCATATATAATAAATAAATAAATCTTTAAAAAAAAAAAAAAAAGAGTTTCCCTGCAAAAAAAAAAAAAAAAAAAGAGTTTCCCTGCAGATGGAATGTATCAATCGTGGAGGAAACTGCTATACAACACTAGCCTTATGTTCAACCCCAGCACTGCAAAACAATACAAAAAGAAATGACAAAAACACTATACCATTTCACAAGCCACTTGAGCACCCAAACTAGAACCAATCCCTTGAGGGGTGACTGGGTATCTGAGGTATCTGGGTGTCAGCTGAGCATCTGAGGATGCTTCTCTTTTGGAATAGGGAGGACCACTGTGTTTTGAGTGTATGTGACTGTTTTGTTTTTCATTGTTTTGTACACTAATTTTAAGTGACTCTAAGTCAGGGGTTATTGAAAATAAAAGACAATTACTGGGATAGGTGTATATTCTGTTAGGTGTGTATGAAATCACCTGAAGAGAAAGCATATGGACAAAAAAAGAATTGTCATGGTGAAGTTTATGTTTAAAGTTTAAAATTACTGTGCTTAACAGAACTAATAACCAAACTTGGCTTTCAAACTTTAAGGTCTGTTACAGGTTGTTTTTGTAATTGTCTGGACTTGAACAATTTTAACCAGACTGTTGTTTATGCAGGATATGCTAATAGGTCATTAGATTAACTGCTGTTTCTGCTTCTGTGAACAGAAGCTTATTTTGTTCCAGATAACCAAGACTTTGCAAAACAGAATGTAGCCTCCTGCTTGCAGGTAAACAGAATGTAACTTTATGTTCTTAACTTAATGTGACTCAGGGCTACATTTGGGAATCTCAAGTCCAGGATGTAGACCTGGCCCTTGCAGATGTAGATCTACATGAATGCCTATTCTTTGTTAAAATTCCTTCATTGTCAGACTGGTGAATCTCTGAAGGACCCCAGTCCCATAACAGAATTACAAAGAAGGAAAAGAAAAAGAATGAGAATGTTTACTTGAACAACAACTCTGGCTCACATGTGAGGCGTGCACTTGAGGCTGCAGAGGGACAAGAGAAGTCTTTGTGAACATTGGAGGTCAGAAGAATGTGGGTGAAGGTAAGACATCCTAGAGGGAGACGGTCATGGATTCAAAGGCCATAGAAAGGCGCAATCATTTGGGTCATGGGCTGGAGACTTGCTAATCCACAGTGGCAGGGGATGCTGGGAAGCTTACTGTGGAGATGACATTCAGAGATCTGAATGGGCATAAACCTGTGGAAAGAGGCCTCCAGGTAGAGGACATGCCATTGACTATATTCTGTATGTGTGAGCTCAAATTCATGGTTAGCATACTTAGACTTAGGTGTTCGATAAAATATAGTACATGAAATAAATACCTTGGACATAGTGGCTGACTAGAAAAGGTTAAGATAAAATGACTGTGAGTTTGAGGCCAGACTGGGTACTGGCATAAGATGTCTTAACAACCAAAGAAATGTATTGAGTGAATAAAGGAACCAAAGCACAGCTGGAAGGGATCAACATTATTATTACTACATTTGCAAAAGAAAGTTTTGTGGAGTTTCTACAGTGTTTTTCTTGTTTGAAGGCTTAGGACACTGGATCATTTTAATCCTTTAGAAGGTAAACTTAATTTTTATGGTGAACACAAGTGTATAGTGGCCAGAGTCATTCAATAAAAATGAATGAGTAAAAAATAGCATATTAAGGGAAGTAAATAGAAACATAAAAAGGTAACAAATATATCCAAATATATACCCTCAGTTACTAATGGTCATGAGATACACCCAAATGGACTGAACTTGCTAAGTTAAAATTGTTAAATTTATTATTTATTCCTTTTAAAAGAAAAAAATCAAGTGTAAGCTGTATATAGCAAGCTTTTCATCTTTGTTTTTTTAATACAATTATAGTTGCAATAATATCTCTTATTTGCTTGGGCAGGTCAAGATTTTGTGAGGCATTAGGCCCTAAGAAATTATGGAGGCCATCTTGTATAAAATCAAACATAGCATATGGCGAACACCTGTAAGCTGAGGGTTTGGGTGACCAACACCCCTCACTGTTCCCTCACCATCTGATCTCACTTTATTTGTTTACTGACGTTGTGTTCACCGAGGTATGATTCACATACACTAAATTTAGGAATCTCAACTGTGCAGTGTAGTTTTACCAAAGGCACCCAGGTTAAGAGAGAGGAAATTTCCATTGCTTCAGAAGGCACTGAGGGAATTTAATATATTACTGGCCCGCAGGTAACCATTATAAAAGTCTTTCTTTTGTAAATGTTTATTTTTATTAAAATCTTTCTATTTGTGTGTGTCTTTTTTCTTTTGTGACTCACTGAGTTTAATTACTATTGGTTAAAGGATCATGGCGGGGGGGGGGGTATTTACAGGAACTTGAAACTTATCTGTGGCTCCAGAACTGAAGAAAATGTCTCTCTTCTAGCCTGGCTTTTAGCAGGAGTGACTCTCACTAGCTGCCCACCCCCACATTTTTTTTTTTTTTTTAAACAAGAGTCTGTGTAGAGCATGTGAGATTGTGTTACTAGACAGGCATAAGAATTAGCAAGAATGAGTGAGCTCAGATCCCGGGCTCAGAACTGAAACCAGCAGATGAAATCATTCCCTGCCTCCCTCTACCTGCTCTGGAACACAAAACCATGACACCCCACTGAGGACCAGGGCAATCAGTCCTGTAGCATAAAAACCTGGAGTTCTCCATGTAAATGAGGTATCTAGATAGTTCCCACCGTGTTCAGCCAATGGGCTCCCCTTTTTGGGCATTCCTTTCAGCAAAAGGTATTTAATCTCTGGGTTGCCCTGAGGAAGGTGTATGCATTCACATTCACCATCAAATAAAACAGTGTAAACAAGCAAGAACTGTCTCTTCATTAAGGATGACTGAGGGGAAAGTCATCTTAAAGAGCCTTGCCTAGAACTCCTGAAGGCCTTCTCTCTTCCAGTCTCTCCCATACCCTCTGTACTCACTGGGAATCAAACCGGTTTCACCAATCCCAGGCTTTGTCTTCCTCTTCCAGCCCACTGGGTAGATGCCCAGAGGGGAATCGTGGACCATTGATGACACCTGTTCTTATAATATTTCAGTGGGGAGAGCTGACCCAGTTCCCGGTGTGCTCGGCAGGTCTCTACCAGCTGAGCTATTCCAATTTGGTGGCTGGAAAGAGTTGTGGAGAAAAAATATCATACGGTAAAAATACCTATCAATTCTCTAAAAATATTGTTTACTTAATTCATATCAAAATAGTTAATTACCTACTATAAGGTACGTAGAAGGAATCAGTAACATTGATACAAAGAAAACATGAGGGTCAAATAAACATTAAAAAAAAAGGTAGAGGGGCAAATGCTGCCATTTGTGAACACGTGACAGAGCTATGTGGACACACCCAGGCCATTTGTGTGGAAGTGGAGAAACCCTCAGGAAGGAAGTGAGGTGGGAACTGGAAAGGTGAGAACATGGCTGGGTCCAAAGAGGAAGTACATGGGTCTGGCAACTGAAGGCTCAGTGGCCCAGAGCTATGGGAAGGCTGGCTCATCTCTCAGGAATGGACTGCCAAGCAGTTGGTGGGGAGGGGAGGGGAGGGGAGGAGAGGGGAGTGGAGGGGAGGGGAGGGGAGAGGAGGGGAGTAGAGGGGAGGGGAGTAGAGGGGAGGGGA